TAACAACTGACAGCCACCGGTTTCCAATGATTTCGATGATCGTAACTTTGTCCACTTGATTTAGGGAAGGGAGAATTTGACGGAATTTACTTTTTACAGTATCCCGGCTGCGGGCGATGTGAACGCAGACCGAGGAGACGTAACCTCATCTTGTCGTCAGCAGCTGTCTGCTAACTATTACGCGGATTCGAAATCGAATGGCATAAAAATGTTATCCACTGGAACCCAGTTTCGAAAAGTAGCTTCCACATGAACGCTGAGACCAATTAAGACGCTGCAAATACCGAGAGATGTGGATTGCGCATCATCGAAACTGAGAAGTATTTAAGCCTAGTTCTTGAATTCCATTTATACTTGGCACTGCTAGACCAGAACAACGTTACGCTAAACACCTTTGACCCGCATAACAAAAATCAACTCCGAAGGTGCGTAAAGCCATAGCGAATACAACCTATTGGTCAATGTAGCACTTGGTGCAGACAAAGAAGGACTGAGTATCAAATAGCGTTCTAGGTTTGGGAGTTGGTGCAGCTCCTATGCTTTCATTGCTTTACGGTCAGAAGAGAAGCCTTCCTAGTAAACATGGGAAATAAATTGGGGAAAACGGGATAAATGAAGGTGGAACATATAACATCAACTGTATCCAGTAAGCGGATGATAATTTGCGACTGCCCTATCTTATCACTACCACTACTACTACTACTACCACTACTACTACTACTACTACTACTACTATACTACGGCTACTACTATTACTACTACTACTATTGTAGGGACCGAACAACGCGGCAATGAAGCACGATCTTTATTGGCACGAACACACACACTACCCTGCCACTCGCACAGGCGCACATTAATGAGTCAGGTTTCTTTCCCACGTTGCACCATCCCTCCTGTCCTCCGCTCGTGGCAGTTCTATGCTCCTTCTGGGGGTACGGGAACGCATCTTCCATGTCCGTTTCGTTCTGTATCTTCGCTTCCATGCCTCCGATTCTGACAAGCCCGGAGTCGTTCGACAGCGTGCGCTTTGCTTGACCGTGGGTGCATCACGCTCCCAGGGGTTGTTTCTTGAAGTCGCGATATCGGCGGTTTTGTCCGATTCCTTGCGTCTTCAGCAATTTCTACACCTGCTTTGCCTGCCTCGGGCTCACCCACGTATGCCGCTCCTGTCCCATTTTCGTTCCGTTCTATTGGGCCTGGGTTTCTCCAGCGAATCGCCCCCATTGCATAGTTCTCCCTATTCGTCCGCCTCCGTTTTAATGATCTAACCGTCCTTTCGGCAAGCGCTGTCTTCCGCCTCCCTACGCTATTAATACTACTACTACTATTACTACTATTACTACCACCAGTACTATTATTACTACTCTCGCTGTTACTACTACTAATACTACTACTATTACTACTACTAATACTACTACGACTACTGCCATTACTACCACTACTACTACTACTACTACTACTACTACTACCGACCACTACCACTACTACTGGGATGACTGCCACAATAAATGAAGTATACTCCAGCAATCCCACCTCCTAGGCAATGGATAAGGTGAAATTGGAACTTACTCAAGTGCAAATTTCTCAACATACGGCAAGGAGTATGCACAAGTACCGCCTAGGACCACAAACTCTGCAGCAAGCTTCTCACAAGTGCCATCTCGACGTGATAGTTCAAGATAACCTCGGTTATTTGAGGCGGACTGAAAAGGCAGCTGAGAAAGAAAACCAGTACCTCGGCCTTCTTCGAAGAGCTTTCGGGAAGTTTGACACTTCAGTCTTTCCAAAAATGCTTAGTGCGTACGTGAGGCTGCACACGGAATACGCTATCCAAGCGTGGCAATCCTGGCTCAAGCACCAGCTCACCGCGCTCGACACAGCACAACGTAGGGCAACGAAGAGCATCAGAGGTTTGACCAACCTCCCCTACCCACTCAGGCTGAATACCTTCAAAACATACAGTGGACGTTATCGGCGTCTAAGGGACGATCTTATAATGGTGTACCAGATCCTGAGAAAACCCAACCACCCATGCCATTCCCTTCTAATACTCAGTCAAAACACTCCGCTAAGAGGTCACTAATTTAAGTTCGTCAAGCAGTACAGCCGCGGGGAATTTCGGCGCAACTATTTCTCCCTTCGAGTGTCACAGCCTTGGAACGCTCTCCAGGAACATGTAATTAATGCACCCACCCTATTCCTTTTCAAAGAACGCCTTGACGATACTCTGTCGCATTTATACTACGTGTTATAGCCCATGACCACCAGATGCTGGCACTAATGCACAACAGACAGTTGATAATGCCATAACACTACTGGAAAATGAGTCAGTCCCAAACCCCTTGCACGAAATTTGATAAACACTACTATTATAGGAATGGAGTTATGTATCCAGTCGACCCAAGATAGTTGCACAGGAGCAAGCGTTGTCCTTGATTTCTTTTTTATTTTTCTCTCCTATGATGTGAACAATAACCACTCCCCTTATTGGTTTGTGTGCGTACATTCTCATTTCAAACTCCCTTTATACGACAGTGCAGTTACATTTGTAATCGCCCAAACTGACGACTCCATTATCCCATGCTCTCTCTCTCTTTTGTCACGCTAAACACCCTACGGGACATGTCAAGCACCTGCTTTTTTACCCGTTGTAAATCATTGTTCATTGTTCATGTATCATGAATTTCAAGAACTTTGGAAACCCTCATCAAGGACTGCTTTATTTTATTCCAGCTAGCAATTATTCCTGTTAAAATTCAAGCTTAGAGAAGAAGTGAAGCCAGTTTCCATGCTGACGTCAATTCGCTCCTATTAATCTCCTACAAATAGTCTTGGCCCAAACATTTCACAATTCACCGCAAATGGTTATCGCTTAATCTTGAGTGCAGCCTTTACACCCGCTAGCAAGTAACGAGCATGGTAGAGAATGGCGGCCTGATTATATGGTATATGGCTGTCAGCTAAGTCTGCTCGGCCTGCGATGGTAAGTCTTCGATGTCCTGTTAGTGAAGCTCAGTGTTATGAGTACAGTAAGAAAACGTTCACCACGCATGTGGTCCTGGTACTATAAGTGATGAGGGCTTGCATTTAAGTAATTCGCAGTCCAAATTGAGACTGCATGTCACAGTCCAAACACGTGATGATTAATCCAAAAACCAAACCAATAATATCTAACCTCTGTCGTAGGCGACACTTGCGGAGCTCTGTGACTCTGTGATCGAAGCTTCAATCAGTCGCTACTACTCCTAGGGTCCTACTACTGAAAGAGAGCAAGCAAACCCGAAACCTGTCAGCAAATATAGTAGTAGACAATATAGTAGTGGTAGCAAGCAGCATTGACAAATTGGACAACTTTTCGTTCCAGCAACATGCACCAATAGGTTTATTTTCTGAAATATGGAACCACTGTATCCTAGCTACAGAAGAACAGAAGCGCCTGCCAAAATAAGTTATGTCATCGCTGGACTCAGTACAAGTAAATAAAGGAGGGTACAGTTTCGACTAGAATAAAACGAAGATATTGGCTCGAGCATAAACGTACATAAAGCGGATTTTTCAAAAACGTTTCAACTAGTTCAGTCAACAAGTGCACTGACCAATCTATTGCACCAGCTACTCAGGAAGAAGAATCTCAGAAAAATCGAGGATATGATTTGGGAACACGCTAGGAGATGAACAAAAGGCTACTGTCTTCATCAGTAGAACAAATTGACAAAAATATTTGTGCACGAATCTTAGGGGCAAATTTCAAATGCAAATTGCTCTTAGTTACAGAAAGACGACCCGATCAGGGCGATTGCGCGCTACACAACAATGTAGTATTGATCTCAACTCCATTGTTGACGAACCGCTTGCAAACAAATTTCCCGGCTCGACACATCTACCAATTACTGCATGTTTTTCTGTTTGGACACTTTTGTCAGACCCTATAAGTTTCCTTTACAAACGACATTCATTCTAACGAACAAATCTTACTGCTGTTAAGATGGTGTGTGATTCAAGCAGTGTTAACTTGCAAGGATTCAAGACACTGCTGGCTATCTCGTTGTTTCGAGGAACTCTTTACATGAGAAAATAGTGAGCTGTGAATAACCTGGTCGAGATTTAACGAAGTCTGTATAGAAACCCAGCTGGAAACATGATTCCTTAGCTAACGTTATCAAAACTGAAGGATGTTCAGATACCTTCCTGACAGAATGCCAATTGGAACACCCTTACGTGGCTTCACTTGATTTTAAGCATCGATATGACTCCAAAATATTGTTGTTGCGATTAAATCTTCCTTGACCATTTGGCGCTTGTTTTTAAATATTCTGCATACTGGGTAAGGGTTTCCGCTCTGGACTATCCGTTTATTTTATTTGATTAGCCTACTTGGTACAGACGCACATCTAAATGTTCAATGCTATACTGCTTAATTTGTAGGAGATCCCTTTTTACTAAGAAATAGCCTTTAGCTTTTTGAAATAACGGAAATTTACCTAGAAATTTATGGTGAAACTCAATCGGTGAAGCTAGGGGGTGATAAGAACGTAAGCGTTTTTAATGCAGATAGCTCCCAATTAATCCTAGTCCTTAAAACATTACTTTGACTACAGAATGTATTATTCACCTGAGAATAGCTGTCAAGTTCTGGTGATCGCAATTGACTGCACAACTCTAAACGATGCAGTTATAAGTATTTCGGAGGTTGTAGATGCATCCGGGGCCTATTCATTTGGCAGATATATGCTCTTAAGCCAAAATTTTACCTTTCAGGCAGCAGGGACCGGTGTCTACCACGCTTCGGTGTGCATTCAATAAAAGACAATTACGCAGTATTCACTCGGCACAAAATGGGAATGTCACCCATAAAACGTGTGTTTGACTCAAATGTGTTTACAATTATTCGCACTCAGCAGTTCAGGCCATGTCAAAGGAGTAGTTTAACCCGGAGATCTCATAGTTTGGGGGAAAGCTTAAGTCAAGGCGTTTAAATCTTTTCATACTACAACTTGGAAATGCAAACCATGGGCGAATTCGCAAACCGGCAATCAGTTCACTTGGAACCTGGAACTGCCGTTTTAGGCTGTGAGTTCATGAAATATATTCCATTTATTGAAAAATACTTCTTATGCTATTATTAATAGAGCGACAGTGTTCGACATTTATAATAATATCCTAAACGAAGTAGACAGATAGTGGTTGCTGCACGTCTTTAAACACTACACAAAACTATGCCTATCTAAGTTGTTTGATTTTATTAGGTTGAGATCGCAGACCTGAATAAGGTTGCAATGCGCTAAAAGTTTTGCATTACTGACGGTTCCAATTTAACCATGACAAATTTCTGTAATAGTCTCAAGCAAGGTGTAATAGCTTTGAAAATTTGCAAAACATAACTAAGTGCACAGTGAGATGTTTACACGGATCAACATACAGCATGTTGTTGAAATCAAGGCTGGGTTGTAACGTTCAGGTGAGTGGATTATGACGATCCGTAATATCTGTGGAGCTTAACGTGGTACGACAGCTTGCGTGCTTCATCGAGTCATCGAGATATGTTGGATGGTGCTTTTAGTTTCTTCAGAGCCACGCATACCACATTAGTAAGTGGCTAGAAAGTCGACTAAGTCAATCTATTGGCCCTCCAGGTTGGGGGTTGGAATGGGAATTGATCACTCCCTAAAACCGACTCTGTAAAGCCTACGACGGAATTACCGCTACGTTGCCCTTAAGTTTTGCATCGAAGGCATTGGCAGGGAAACCCAACATTTCGCCAGCCTGAGCCCGGGTAGTTTGGCGGTACGTGGCCATGCAACACAATGAAAGCGCTTCACACAATTTGTGGTGCTCTGGCCGTCGCAGAGAAACAGTAATGGCGCCCTCTCTGTTGTATTGAGCAGGGTGAATAGGGGTAAGTGGTTTCTCGTACACACCTACCCACTTGTTCCCTCTTGCGAATTTTCATCTCGATCACTAATTTCCAAGTTCACCTTTATTCCCCTTGTTTTCAACTTGCCAATTCTTCATCATCCCCAGTTCGATTCCAGTCTCATCTCCAGAAATCCTATTGCGTCACTCTAGTTCGGTCGATAAGTCCATGTGAAGCCAAGCGAACAACGTCAACTCATTCGTTCCCAATTCTAACCCTGGATCTTTGGTCAACTGGTGAGTCGCAACGTGCGCATTTTGTCATAGATTGGCCAACAAACAATGTTTACCTGAGCATTACAAACCATATCTATGGATTTTGTTACCTCTCGGAAACTCGCCCTCGATCCCCCAGAAACGACACTGGCGGCACTTTCTCATTACGTTTGCTTGGAGACAATGCAGCTTCAAATATTGGCCAAGCCGCTGTGTGCATCGCTCTGAGTCCCTGTACAGAAACTGTCTTGGTTGACTGAATCCTGATAAAAAGCCAGATGTGCGCCGTCAAATAAGCTAGCTCTTTCATTGGTTTAAATTCGCGAGCAAACGAACAGTGTCTGATTGTCATGGCTGTTTACTCCCATAAATTCTATCAATGACTGAACTAGCCCCTGTGTCATCGAAAAACTACGGATGATGTAATGCTGGCTGGTAATCTGAAAGCTCAATTTAGAAAATTATCTGGCGAAGACCTGCATCTACGCAACCAACACGGTTTAAACTTCCCTACCAATAATTGTGAGCGGTTGTTATATCTATGTGAAGACGCTGGTTTAATTCTTGCAAACAGTAACTTACGGCATGGCGTTGTAACAGGATGACATGGTGTCCTTCTGCAGCGGATGGTCCATGGATGTACCTCGATCACATCGTCGTCAGTTATAGTTGGAGAGGTTGCGTCTAAAAATGCCGTCCTAATTGAAGCGCGATGTGAATTCCGATCAGACCACTTAGCTGTGCTGATCGCCGAGTGATTTTCGGTAGACGACCGCGACGACGCTTTGAGTGCAGATATTCTAAATCCATAAAAACTTATGCTGACATATGAATTGAGTAAGCGCTCCTTGAGCGCAGTTGAGGGACATTGTACGCGTGCTCACCTGACTATATTGGCAGTAAGTGAATTGTCATTCGGTGAATCTGATTTCCAGCTGCACTCTGAATCTCTGCACAGTCTGGAATTTCTGAATGCTCGTCCACACATTCCGGTTGGGAGCAAACACACGAAAAACGCAAAAATCCGACAGCAAGATTGCATGCTTCCCTGAAGAGTGACTGAGAAAGCTGGTGGTCTCATTTTGTACGGGAAAAGGAAATAGCTGCTACTCTTAGGGATTATCAAGTGGTGGTTCTGTATCATATGGGAAGTGAGCAGATATAGACTTAGTGTTAGCGAAAGTATTTGCGAGGAGATTGGAGATCCTATCCACAGCACATCAAAATGTATGAAATATTGGGCTGAGCACATGGGATTGCAATTTAGTTGGCCAAAAATCCTGGATTCGCTGTGACTGCCTTATTCACTGTGGAATCCTGTTAGATCCTTCTGTTCGCGATGCAGTCGAAGGTAAGACCGTGAGACCGGATGAATTTTTGCTAGCTCTCGTCGAATTCGTGGCCCAGACATTTTGGATGATTTGCACGCTTTGTTCGTGAAAGTGTGGCAGTAGGAAACTGTGCCAACCGACTAGAGCTGCTCGGATATTGTCCCTATCCTCATAGGGGCTCAAGTTCCAAATGTGGCAGTCAAACGGGATCAGTCTGAGCTACACATCATCTAAATTATTTGTCTATATCACGCTTCACAGATTGACTTACGTTCGTGAAAGCCAGGTTTATGAAGAGCAGGTAGGATTTCGTTGAAATCGAACCTGCATTGATTATTGAAGTACAGCCACTTACATGGGCGAACAACCTTATTCTTATTCCTAGACATCAAATGTACCTTCAGCTACATGGCTTAATATGATAGTAAAGACTGTTTGATAAGGAACGATTTGTCTGAGCGTTTTACTTTAGGATTTTGAGCAGAGCGAGGACTTATAGGAAGCTGTCACTACCATGTCTTATTTTCAGCAATGTGAGACAGGGACACGGGCTGTCAACTTTTCGCCTAAACTTTGTCATCGATGAAGTAATAGAACTACCGTTATTGGACATAACTCAGAAGTTGTGGATATACACCAGTTGATCTTGTTCATGACTGTGACAATTCATGGACGTCTTAAGCAACTATGTATGCATAAGCATTGGTTCCCAGCCATTTTGGGCTCTGCTTTGCACTCTCCAAATGTAAATTATTTCCTCAAACATATACAGGGACTGCCCTCTGCACTGACTATTGGTGCTAAGTAGCTAGATTTCATTCAGTAATTCAACTATCGGGGCAGCGATATCAGTGGCTCTGCGATAAAAGAAGACATCACGAACATTATATGTAAAGGTTTAAGTTTCTTTGCCAATTTCGGCACTCACGGTGCAGACGCGACATCATTCTCCCTGAACGATAGAGTCAATCATACAACCGTCCGTTTAACCCCACTATATGGCTATGGAAGATGACACACCAACTCAGCAGACTAAAGAAGCTTGTAATATTCGACCATCGCTGCATTCGCGGTTTGGCTCATATCTTCTGGGAACACTGCATAAACAGTGCGCCTGTTCGGCGTCTGGTTTGTGTTTCAGAACAAGAAACTGGACCTTTCAGAACCTCTATTTTGCATACAAAGCACTGATGACCTGGCTATGGGTTACGCATACTAACATTTCACGTATGTTGTTTCCGTGAGCGGGATCTGGATGGAAGAAGATGAGGAAGGGGCGAGCTGCTTACTTGGACAAGTAGAATGGAGGCTCTCACTTCGAAGTTAACCTGGGTTGACGTCTTCCAAATTATTAGCTTGTGCCCTAATGATATTGAAAGCGTTCGGTTGGATATACTTGTCGAGGTAGCAAACCGCCTAGCTCAGTATTGTGAGTTTCTTTGTTTTTTCCAATCCCGATTAACCTCCTCTTCCAGCAATGATCATACTGTCGATGCCCAACAGTAAGTACTCAACATAAAGTAATATTACCCGGTTCCATGTTGTAATTTATATTGCTTAATGTGTTATATATTTCTAAAATCTTAGCGCATTGTATTGAGGCACAGCAGTTGAGGAATTTTCTAACTCCAGGGGACGTCTTGAATGTGG